GCACCAGCCAACGGACCTCCCTGTGCAGGGCGGCCTCCACTCGAGAAGCCTGGATGCTGGGCCCGGCTGCTGCTTCACGCACCGTCCCAGAGCCCGGGCCGGCGGCATCAGTGTGTGCAGCGTGACCCGTGCCAGGCCCCTCCCTGCACCCGGGGGACCCGCGGGCACTGCCCACTAAGAAAGAGCCGACCTGCCCGCAGGCGTCGCGGTCGCTGCCGCGGGAGGTGTGTGGTCTGTGGGCGCGACCGTCCACAGGGATGGATTTTCATCTTCGCAGAGTGACCGCTCCTGAATGAACCGCACGGGCGCTGCTGAGTGAAGGAGGCCGCTCCCAAGCCCTGCCCTGTGATCCGCGTACATGGCATCAGGAAGACAGGACGACAGAGATGGGCCAGGCACAGCCGGAGACGCTGGGAGGGGCGGTTACAGAGAGCGGGGTGCCGGGCCTTTGGTGACCCCACACCTACGCGGGCGATGACACTGCGTGACACTAAGTACATGTGCCCGCGCCCACGAGCACCAGCCAACGGAGACGGAGCGCGGGGCGCTGCCTGCTTCCGGCCGCCGCCTCGCCGGCTCTGATTGCAGCCGCTCTGCGAGGCGTTGCCATGGAGGGAGACGAGTAAAGGACACAGTGTCCTTCCCCACCATCCCCTACACCTGCAGGGACCGTGCAGCCCACTCAGCTACAGCGTTTCCCTTAGAAAGGGAAAACCAGTTCATCAGGCCAATGTTGATCCCCCCACACACTCACCCCTACAATCGGACGGCAGCACGCAGCGGCGTCAGGCATGGCCTGCGTGCGGCGTTGGCGGGATGAGCCGGCAGCGGAGGATGGAGATGCTACTGCCGTCGCGGCCCCTGAAGGAGAAGGCCGAGGGGGCACCTACGCGCCGAAGAGCAGCCTGAGGAGTCGGCGGCGGCTCTGCCGTGGTCCTTTGGGCCAGTCCACCGGGTCCACACGCGCACACAGAGCAGAGGTTCCGACCCCTCTCCCGCCAGGCGCAGACTTTCCGCTCAGTGAGCCGGGGATGCAAAATTGCTACCTAACTGCCTCCCCGGGAACCTTGGCCTTTTCTCCGTCACCGTCATCGTTCCTTGAAAGTGCTGTTTGCGAGCCTTTCTCCTCCTTTGGGCTCTGCCTGCTCTGGGGAGACAGCTGCTGTCGGAGGCTGGCCAGGCTGTCGTGTCCGCGTGCAGCACCGTCACAAAGTCACACTGAGCATGACCTCTGGCAGGCAGGCCCAGCATTAATTACCACTCAGAAAGCCAGGCAGCCTTTGTCATCATGATAATGAGATCACTGCCACCTAAACACGCCACGCACTCGGCCAGGCCACTGTTGAATTTCTGCTGAATAAACTGAGAAAAAAAGATACTGCAATTTACTCTCCAAGGAAATTCATTGCTTAGTGCAACCACTATTTTTTTATTTTTATTTTTTCGGTTGAATAGGTCAGTGCAGTACCCAGAGAGAAGCGAGTGGCTACGCGTTCGCTGCTACAGAGGGACGCCGGGCCCTTTCTCTTCTGGCCCTCAGCTGTTACTTGCCGTCGCATTGGAGTGTTAAATCTGTATTTTGGAGGAGAACTGCTAAGACTTTAGAGAGGATGTTACTAGACTGCACTGCCCCCCGGCACAGGCCAGAGCCCGGTGCGGCCCCCCGCACGCCTCGGGAGTTGTGTTTAGTTTCGATACGGAAGCAAACTGGCCTATGAAATACTGGGCTGTAAACATCCACCTTCATGAGCCCCTCGGGACAGCGCTTCTAAAGCCTGAATTAAGATGGTTCATGATTCAAGCCCACACGCTGAAAAGTGGCCGTTGCTCTGAGTAGCAATTTGCTGCCGGAGACCTGAGAGTGTAAATCGCCTCTGGCCTCTGCTCTCTGTGGTCAGACTTTGTGCGCACATTGGTAAAGGATGAAGTTCTCAGAAATAGTTTTTTTAATGCATCTTAAAATATATTTTTATTGATTTCAGAGAGGAAGGGAGAGGGAGAGGGAGAGAGAAACATCAATGATGAGAGAGAATCATGGATCGGCTGCCTCCTGCACGCCCCCCACTGGGGATCGAGCCCCCAACCCGGGCAGGTGCTCTGACGGGGAATCAAAGCCTGACCTTCTGGTTCTTAAGTCGATGCTCAGTCACCGAGCCACACTGGTCGGGCCAAAGATAGTTTTTAAAAAGAGTCCGACTCGAGGCTGCAGAGTCTTCTGAAATATGCTCCTTGCTTAGCGGCTCCTGTGTTTTCTTGTTTAAAGAGCCACCGTACTTCACTGCTGAGCCCGAGAGCCGGATTGTGGTGGAAGTGGAGGAGACGGTGGACATGGCGTGTGCAGCGATGGGTGAGTGTGGGGGCTGCCGGGTGGCCGTGATGTGGAGGGACCCAGGGCATTCTCCAGGGCAGTCGTCATCATTGGGGGGACACATTGAGGGCAAGGCCAGAAACCGGGACTGTGCAGAACCCAGTTGCTGTGCATGTGACCCTGGGAAGGTGTTTGACCCTGGGAAGGTGTTTGACCTTGGAAAGCTGTTTGACACTGGGAAGGTGTTTGACCTTTGGGAGGTGTTTGACCCTGGGGGAGTTGTTTGACCCTGGGAAGATGTTTGACCCTCGGGAGGTGTTTGAACTTGGGAAAGTGTTTGACCTTGGGGAGGTGTTTGAACTTGGGAAAGTGTTTGACCTTGGGGAGGTGTTTGACCCTGGGGAGATGTTTGACCTTTGGGAGGTATTTGACCTTTGGGAGGTATTTGACCTTGGGAAGGTGTTTGATCTGGGAAGGATTGACCCTGGGGAGATGTTTGACCTTGGAAAGGTGTTGACCCTGGGAAGGTGTTTGACCCTGGGGAGGTGTTTGACCTTGGGAAGGTGTTTGACCTTGCTCCCTCACCTGCAAAGCAGGGAAGGTACTATTTATACAAGGAAGCACAGGAGGCCTGGTGTAGGCTGTCCTCTCACTCCCTTGGACGCTCCGCTTCCACCAGCCACGGCCCCAGGCCTGAGGGCAGGAAGCTCGTCCTCATCCACAGGTGATGGGGACCCACAACCACGCCGCTCTGTAGACAGGGAGATGCTGTGAATTCTCTGGACAGCATTTGTGTTTCTGCCGTTTCAGCCCTGGGTTGCCTTTTCTTGTTATTCAGGCCACATGACTACTAGCCGTCGTGGCCACCATTCCCACCCCGCAGTGCAGGGAGCCACACTCACCTAAGACGGGCTCTCTGGGCACTGCATTAACAAAGGCTGCGTCAGTGCTGGGGGCGGTCAGGAAACGAGAGGGACCTTCTCCCGTTACTGTCTGGCCCCCTTAAGAGCGGTCTTTCCTCCTGAGACTTCCCAGCCTCCTGAGCCTTCACAAGGGCCACGGGGGAGAGTGTCATCTCGCTGTTCACATGGACAGAGCCTGAAGGCAAGGCCCAGCCACATGCCCGGGGCCAGGGCGACGCGTGCGGTGCCTCCCGTAAAACCTTCGCCAGCGTTTGGCATGAAGGGGTCGTCATTACGTACCGGGCAGGTGACCTACCGGGGGCCACATGGAGGCGGGAGGCAACCGAATCCGTGAGCTCCATGGCGAGGGCTTTGCCAGGACCCCGGCTGCTCCCGAGAGCTGAGCCGGGACGGGAGCTAAGACCTCACAGCTGTGGGTGCCCACACGTCGCTCCCATTTCTGAGGAGGATGGCAGCGTCCCTCGGGGCAGTGCTGACGGCCGGGGAGGGTCAGCCGCAGTCCCCTCCTCCGTCACTGTGTCTGTGCGGCCGGGCCTGCTGAGCGGCTCTGGTCTGAGCCTGGGTCCGTCAGGGAGGCCGGAGGCGGGTGCAGGCCCTGCCCCGCTCCTGTCCCTCTGTCCCGCTCCCTGAGCCCGGGGCGGCGGGAGGGCGAAGAGGAACGCGGATCTTACATAGAATTACATCCCTGGCGGCGGTCGCACTGTCCCCTCTCGAGTACACCCAGCTTTGTCAGGCCGATGACGGAAAGGGAAGCTGTGCAGTTAGCGTCTGCAGTGCGTGGGGTAAGACTCTGCTTTTGACCTGAAATTGCCCCAAAAGAGAAGCCCTCCTCGCCCCTCCTCGCCAACAGCCGTCTCTCAGTAAGCGACGGTCGGAAGCTCTGCCCCTGACGAGCAAGCTCCTGACACGGCTGCTGTGGGGACAGCGTGTGAAGCGCAGGCATACACGTGGGAGCAGGTTCTCGCGTGGCGTGGCCGGCGTGTCATTTACCGCTTTCTTCTAACTCTGACGGCGAAGCCGCAGCCGGCGGCGCGGTTCCTCTCGGAACCGCCGTTATGAGGTTTTACACGAGTCATTATGCTTTTACCTCGAAATGGATTTTTTTTAATTTCCTGGTTTAATAAAAAGTGACAGGAAACATAATTAAGGCAAAGAACAGGATCCGCGAATGCATTATCTTGAAATATTCCACGACATTAACTTTATTTATGAGAAGGAGGCATCTTTTATTCCAGCGTCTGAAGCCGGGGGACCGGAGTGTGCTCCCTCCCATGCACTGCGTGGGCGTGTTTTCTCTTGGCTACGTTCACAGCGAGGGAAACCGAGGCACAAGCCGTCGGGGTGTAGAAATAGCCCAGCTGCTCCCGCACTTTTCCGGGGGCCTCGGCAGGCGCTGTGCCCGCCGCCGGCGCTGTGCCCACCGCAGTTCAGTTCTGTGGTCTTGGGGCTCAGGTCAGCTCTCCGGTGCAGGCGCAGGGCGTTGGGAGGGTCATGCCGGGGCTGCGTGTTCCCCACCTTCCCCGATGCCGTGCTGTCCGTTGCTTCTTGTCACGTGGGAGGAGGAACACCTGAAGTGCCTGTTAACACACTGCTCTTCCTGCCCGGCCGGCGTGGCTCAGGGGTTGAGCGTCGACCTATGAACCAGGAGGTCACAGTTCGATTCCAAGTCAGGGCACATGCCCGGGTTGCGGTCTTGATCCCCAGTAGGGTGTGTGCAGGAGGCAGCCAATCGATGATTCTCTCTCATCATTGATGTTTCTCTCTCTATCTCCCTCTCCCTTCCTCTCTGAAATCAGTAAATACATGTTTTTTTAAAAAAAAATACTGCCGTTGCTTCCTCCTGTAAGAGATTCCCGAAATTTAAATTTGTGACGCCTGGTCCTTGCCTCCACGCAGGGGCCCCGCTGCCCAGGCTGCAGTGGTACAAGGACGCCGTGCCGCTCAGCCAGCTCCAGGACCCGCGCTACCGGCTGCTCCCCGGCGGCCTGCGCATCGAGCGGCTGCGTCCCCGCGACTCCGGCATCTTCCAGTGCTTTGCCAGCAACGAAGGGGGCGAGGTGCAGACCTCCACCTACCTGGACGTCACCAGTGAGTACCGGCCACCAGAGGCCGGAGCTTCCAACCGTGGCCCGCGTGGCACACTGAGAGGGGTCCCCTCTGCTCGGCCCCGCGGGGACCTGGGCAGGGCGTGGTGCCCAGGTGACTGCAGCACCCAACCCCCTCGTCCCCTCTGCAGACGCCTGGGCGCGAACACATGGCTGCCCCAGGGGCCTGCCCTGCTCTCAGCAGGTAGCGGGGACCCAGCACCGAGCCTCCCCGGCACCAAGAAGTAGGAAACCCGGTTTTCTGGACATTAAGTGAACAGCTCGTTCCTGCTCTTTTCCCTGAGATAGTGTTTCCACTTTAAATATTCATTCTCTGTTGTGGTTTATTGAACGATTACAGCTCTTCTGTGAGCTTCTATTGCCCCATCGACGGACATGGTGGGCCTCTGACAGCTGGGATGCGGAGGTTTTCCCTGTATCCGTGCCTCACGCCGTAACCTCCCACAGCTGTGATACTGTTCTCCCCAAGGAGAATTTTCTGATTTCTTTTCTGTTCCTGTGCGTCTTCCCCCTTTCAGACAAAGTAGAACCTGGTGCTTAGGGAACGATACCGGGCACATTTGTCCTTTCGGAGGAAAAATGCTGGTCTCCTCGGGGGGCAGAGCCTTTGGAGGAAGCGGGTCAGTGCCGGTGTGCTGGCCGGAGAGCCCACAGAGGCGGACAGAACCTGAGACTGATGCATACGCTTCAGTGACCTGGGCTCACGTCCTTGAACTGTGCCCAGGGGTCAAGTTTATCGTCCAGTTCGGAGCGTGGGAAACTAAAATCCCTTCAAACAGTAGAAATAACACTGGGCCCTTAGCCGGAAACCGAGTTTGATGCATTAGAATTATTTAAAGCAGACCTGGCAGCGACAGGCCAGGGTGGGACGGGTGGGGACTGGCCCTCTTCCTAAAAGGGCAGACGGTACATTGGTTCAGCTTTGAGGGGCTTGGTCTCAGTCACAGCGACTCAACTCTGCTGGAGCAGGACAGCAGCACAGACAGCACAGAGCGGGTGGGCGTGGCTGTGTTCCAATAAAGCTTTATTGACAAAAGCAGCACAGACAATACAGAACGGGTGGGCATGGCTGTGTTCCAATAAAGCTTTATTGACAAAAGCAGCACAGACAATACAGAACGGGTGGGCATGGCTGTGTTCCAATAAAGCTTTATTGACAAAAGCAGGCATGGGGCTGCATTCGGCCCCCGGGTTGGGGGGCCAACCTTTTCTCTATTGAGAGACCTGGGAAGCTCTACTTAATTTCTCCGCCTCAGTGTTGTCATCAAAATGGAGCCAACCCAGCCCAATTCACAAGGTTCTTGCAAAGATCAGATTGGAAATTCAAATGAACGTGCTACATACGCTGGTTACCATGACAACTAGAGGGAGAACAGATAAATGATTATGATTTGTAAGTGTAGGGTGTAGCAAAAGGGGCTTTTTTCAAATTAAAACCTTTAATGGGATGAAAATACAATGTAGCACAACCAATATTGATGTGTTCATTTAACAAACACTGTTGAGCATGCGTGTCCAGGCCTCCGGGTCCCTCAGGCCTGGGGACAGCCGTGCGGAGGCGGGTTCTCTGCGGGCTGCCGGCAGGATCGGCCGTTCCGAGAGGGAGCCCGGGCAGGTGCAGGCACCCTCACTAGTTGCCTCGCGCTCCGTCCTGTGGAAAGCCACGTGGACAGTCCCTCCGAGGGGCCACGCTGAGCCTGTCCCTGTTACCTCCTCACTCAGATGTCGCACCAGCCTTCACTCAGCTTCCGGCCGACACCACGGTCACAGATGGGATGACGGCCACGCTGAGGTGCGAGGTGTCCGGGGCGCCCAGACCCGCCATCACCTGGAGGAGAGGTAGGCAGCGGCCCTGTTGCAGCGGCCGGGCCAGCGCAGCGCTGAGCCTCGGCGATTCACACGGACCCGCCACGCTGGGGGACGGAAAACCGGAGGGAGCTCCTCAGCTCCGAGGTTCAGCCTGTGCACAGGCCCAGCTGGGGCGGGGGATCTGGGGGCCAAAGGTGAAGGGGGGCAGGCCCTCTGTCCGTCATGTGCTTTCTCTCACTCGATTGAGATGGGATCATAGCGTATGAGAGCATTTCCAATGCCCCAGAGGGCCGTGGCAGACGTGTCCGCATCCCGGTGGAGGGAGGGTGTCCGCGTGCGCTCCTGTGAATCGCGCTGGAGGACCTGCTGTGGTGGTGTCCGTGTGTGAAGGGCCCCCTTCGTTCTGGCATCTCCTTGACTTGCTTCTTGGCGGTGGCCTGAGCGTGGCCCTCCCTCGCCCTGGGTTCTGACGCGCCTGTCCTCTCTCTGGTCTCCAGGAAGCCACGTGCTGGCCAGCGGCTCCGTGCGGATTCCCAGGTTCATGCTGCTGGAATCGGGGGGCCTGCAGATCAGCCCCGTCTTCATCCAAGATGCCGGCACCTACACCTGCTACGCAGCCAACACGGAGGGGTCCCTGAACGCGTCGGCCACGCTCACCGTGTGGAGTAAGGACCCCGCCCCGCGGGCCCCGCCCCAGCCCTGGTCTCACCGGCGTGTCCTCTGCTTGGGGACTTCCTGATGTCCGGACTCCGGTTCGCCCAGGGGAGGAGGATTGTCACAGCTCATTTCTAGGAACCTGTTCTTAACTAACGTTTCCGTTTCCGAAGAACAGTCAGCAAGTGTGTCCCCAGATTTAAAGGGGGCGTTTCGGGAGAGGAGAGACTGACTTTCAAGTCAGTGAGTTGGGATGGTGCCCCCAAGTGGCTCCCATAGCAAACGGGCAGGTTATGCGAGAAAACCGAGTCGAGAACTAAAATCCTAGAGAGAGTATATTTTTTTCTGTTATCATTGTAACCAACTAGAACAGTCCTAGCTTATGAACTGTGAATGCTCCCTAGATATGAGGCATGAGCCAAGAGAGAGAGAGAGAGAGAGAGAGATTTGTTTCTCCAACGTTTGACTTCTTATTTTATCTATAACACGGGTTTCTGAAATGCAGATAAGTTGTTTTCCGGAGCATAAGGATTGGCTTACCAAGCATTCCTAACCCACCCCTGTAGCCTCGCTCACCAGTGAGCTTCCCCGTCTCCCCGCGGCCGTATCTACATCACAAACAGCGCTGCTCACAAACTCAAGACTAGCAGAGTCACCTGTGCTCGCTAAGAGATTCCCAGACTGTCTGTGAGGAGGGAAACGCTCACTTGCATGAGGGGGCGTCTGCCACACCCCATCCTTCGGGAAAAGGCCCCTGGGCTCCGCTTCATGTCCATGAGGTGTTTCTGGTTTCCGTGGCGTCCACTCTGATAGACGGCCTCCTAACGTGCGAGGTGCTCTAAGAACACTGGCTTCCAGTCACCCCCGATTGTCAGGTGCTGAAGAGGGGGTTGTCCCTAAAATGAGCCTCATCTTTACAAACTGGTGACAAACTGACATCTGCACGTCGCGGGGTCACTTGCCAGGCAGTTGTGTGGCTCCGCTAAGATCCAGGGTCAGAACAGCGGTGGCTGCGGGAGCCACAGTGGCTGCGGGCGCCGACTCCACGTGCCCATGGGTCTGTGTAGCCGCAGCACCGGCAGCACCCCTCCCACACCCAGGAAACGCACGCTCAGAGAGGCCTCCCGCACGCCCGCTGCGGGGGGTCAGGCTGCCCTGAACCCAGTGTGGTGACCCCCGAGTTCGGGCTGTGCTCACAGAGGTGCGCACGGGAGACGCATGCCATGGCTGTCACCGGGCCCCGCTGTGGCGGCGGCTGGTCTGGGCGGAGTCCAGACCTACCCCTTTGCCCCAGGCCACTCCAGCTCCGTGGCACCAGCAGCCCGGCATGTCTGAGCCTCACTGTCCTCCCGGGAACTGGGGTGATACCGCCGCACCCACAGGCTGCCATGAGGACCGTCATACACCGTAATAATGAAGGCGCCTCGCCAGTCCCGGGTGCCGTGCGGCCGGCAGACGTCCCCGATGCTGATTATCTCAGGGAGACGGATGCTTCCCTGGGAGTGGGAGCGGGGGCCTGATGACATCGCAGCCGGCCTTCCACTCTCGCTTCCTCCGGGCCGGGGCCCTCGGGTGGCCTGGGAGGGCGGAGGCCTGGCTCCCGCTGTGTGGGAGGGCGTGTTTCAGTCCCCGGGGCGGCTCTGGGTGCCGCGATGTACACGTCTTGCCGGGAGAAGAGGAAATTGGTTTTGATGTCAGGTGCCCAGTGCATTGCCCGGAGGGAGGAAGCGCGCACGCCTGTGATTCTGTCTGAGCTGTGACTTGTGTTTTCAGATCGAACGTCCATCGTCACGCCCCCTGAGGACCGCGTGGTGATCAAGGGGACCACGGCCACGCTGCGCTGCGGGGCCACGCACGACCCCCGCGTCTCCCTCCGGTAGCTCCGTCCCCCCGTGGGGGTGTTCATACTCCGTGGGCTCGGGAAGGGGTGCTGAGGCCAGAGGGGGAATGGCAGGGACTGGATTTCAGCCCCAGGTCACGGCGCCATGCGGTCTGGGCTCCGTTGTTCATCGCACAGATCCCAGCTCCCACTCCGCCTGTGGATCACTTACGGGGACGGTGTCCTCTCCCGGCCTCGGTGCAGCGCTCCTTTGTGGGTGCAGAGTGAGGGGGTGCGGGGGAGAGAGCACCACAGTCTATCGGGGTGAGGGGCAGGGTGGAGAGAGGGCCCGGGGACTGCGGGTCTGGAGGGGTTGCAGCGCCGTCCCGTTGGAGCTCAGACTGGGAAGGTAATGACCCCGTGGGACCCAGCCGGCCACCGCGTGGCGCCAGCACAGGCCCGAGCCTCTTCCCGGACTCGCGGCTGCAGAATGGGCTTCACTGTCAGACGCAGACTCAAGCCTAAATCGTAAATCTGCACAGACACACACCCTCCGGGCATCTGCACTCGGCCTGAGCCAGAGGCGTGCAGCCAGCGATGGGGCTTTCGGAAGCGCTCGCCCAGCAGAGGGGGCGGGGGCGCATGCGCACAAGTGGTTTAACTGGATTCGGAGGCAGCTGACGTCTCCCTCGTCTCTGCGAGTGTTTGGCAAACGGTGAACGTGTGTTTGCGTGTGGCCTGCTCTTTGTTCAGGAACTGGAGGCTTCTGCTCTGAGTTTTAGACAGTCAGTGCCCCTGTGCAGGCAGCACTTGTCCTTCGGGACTTTCCTGGGAATGAGAGGAGCAGTGCTCATAGCGACAGGTGTGACAGGTGTATGTCACAGTGCTCATAGCAACAGGTGTGACAGGTGTATGTCACAGTGCTCATGGCGACAGGTGTGACAGGTGTATGTCACAGTGCTCGTAGTGACAGGTGTGACAGGTGTATGTCACAGTGCTCGTAGTGACAGGTGTGACAGGTGTATGTCACAGTGCTCATAGCGACAGGTGTGACAGGTGTATGTCACAGTGCTCATAGCGACAGGTGTGACAGGTGTATGTCACAGTGCTCATAGCAACAGGTGTGACAGGTGTATGTCACAGTGCTCGTAGCAACAGATGTGACAGGTGTATGTCACAGTGCTCATAGCGACAGGTGTGACAGGTGTATGTCACAGTGCTCGTAGTGACAGGTGTGACAGGTGTATGTCACAGTGCTCGTAGCGACAGGTGTGACAGGCGTGTGACATCCTTAGTGCTGCCACAGAGGCGGGAGAGACTGCCGCCTCCACCACTGCGCTCGCCAGCCGTGAGCCCGGCTTCTGGCTGAGCAGTGCTCCCCCTGTGGTCAGTGCACGTCATAGCGACTGGTTGTTCCGCATTCGGTCAGTTTGCATATTAGCCTTTTATTATATAGGATTGATTTCAGAGAGGAAAGGAATGGGAGAGAGAGAGAGAGACATCAATGATGAGAGGGAATCATTGATCGGCTGCCTCCTGCATGCCCCACTGGGGTTTGAGCCCGCAAACCCGGGTATGTGCCCTTGACTGGAATCAAAACTTGGGACCCCTCAGTCTGCAGTTGATGCTCTATCCACTGAGCCAAACTGGCCAGGGCTCTTTTTGTTCCTCTGTTATCGTATAGCCCACATGGGATGGAATTCACCCTTCCGAAGAACAGTGAAGTGGTCGGTGCACCCACAGGCCCCAGCGCGGCTTCTCACAGACGGAGGGGCCAGCGCCGACCCTCCTGCCCGCTCTGACCCAGGCTCTGTGCTTGGCTGCAGCTACGTGTGGAGGAAGGACGACGTGGTCCTCGCCCCGCCCAGCAGCTCCCGGATCGTGGTGGAGCCGGACGGGTCCCTGCTCATCAGCCAGACGTGGTCGGGCGACATCGGAGACTACACCTGCGAGATCGTCTCTGAGGGCGGCAGCGACTCCCGGACGGCCCGGCTGGAGGTGATGTGAGTACCGTGTCCCCTCCCCCCTCCCCCCCCTCGGCTCTGAGGGCGGCATCCGGGAGGCCACACGCCTGCCCCGGGCTGCCCTTCACACGGGTGCCGCCCACCGTGGCTCTCAGCCAGTGGCCAGTGGCGGGTGCCTTAGGCCTCACAGGTGCGTCCTTAGGAGGTTCCACCTCGTTCCAGGGGGTTCGCTGGTGCTCACTGACCCCTGCATCCTGTCCCCCAGCGTCTCTGCGGTGCGAGGGCCTGTCTGCTGTGGGCACCGGGTAACAGGCCACTTTCCACCGAGCGCCCATCAGAGCTTCCGTAGGCGAGACAGCAGGGCCTCCCGCCAGGAGGCGGACCTGCAGCCAGCAGGGCGCGTGTCAGCCAGCGCCTGCCTCCACGGCAACGGCACTTCCCTTGAGCTCCTCGGGGATCCGGGACGGCGATGGCGGCCAGTCCTCTGGCCTGGCCCCGGGGTCCCGCTTCTCTCCCGCGTGACTCCCTCTGTTCACAGCAGGAAGCTGACACTTCGTTCAGCTCATTTTTAGAAACGCTGTCCCTGCAGACGTTCCCTGAGCTCAGACGTGTAAGAGTAAACCGGCCGGTGAAGAAGCAGATGGGGGCGGGGAGGGGAGGGGGGCCGGGGGCGCAGCAGCCAGCTCTGGGCCCCGCCGCATCCCGGGGAGCAGGCAGGCGGCCCCGAGGAAAGGCAGTGTGAGAGGCTGGCCTGCTGGACTCACCCCGACCCAGCCAGGGTCCTCTAGACAAACTCACTCCCTGGACGTAGAACCTGAGCAGGGGCACAGGCCACGCCTCATTGTCTTTGAGTCCATGGACCAGGCCGAGGGGATCATTAGTGATAGACGGGCTTGAGCACAGACACTGGGATGGGTGAGCGACCACAGCCCTGCTGGCCCTGCTGCAGGGGCAGGTGAGGCTGTGCGGGGCCGGGTGAGGCTGTGCAGGGCTGGGTGAGGCTGTGTGGGACTGGGTGAGGCTGTATAAGGCCCAGGGTGAGGGGGTGAGGCTGTGTAAGGCCCAGGATGAGGGGGTGAGGCTGTGTAAGGTCCGGGTGAGGCTGTGTGGGGCCCAGGTGAAGCTGTGGGACTGGGTGAGGCTGTGTAAGGCCCGGGGTGAGGGGGTGAGGGGGTGCGGCTGTGGAGCGGCCCCGGTGCCTCCAGGACCTGAACCGGCCCAGCCCACCCGCTGCCTGCAGGGTCTCGTCCTGGATGACCACCCCGTGTTCTCTGTGGAGGCTTCTCTTTGGGGGCAAAGGTCACCCTAGTCAGTAGGGAACAGCAGGAGCCTCCGTCCCAGAGGGTATGCGGGGTCTTGGTGCTGCGGCCATGGCTTATGCAGGTGACCCCCAGCTCTGTGCGTGAGCGGGGAAATGGGGGGCTCCCCCCTCTTGCCATTGGACCCGCGGACCCCGACACTCCATCCTCCTGTGCCCCTGCCCCCCCTTCCCCAGATGCCTCCGCAGTCTCTGCCCCTGCCGCCTGTCCTCCACCACCTCCACCTGGAGGAGCTGCCCCTCAGTCTCCAGGATGCACCTGGGCCGCCAGGTGTCTTCATGGGCTCCCGGGATCGCCCGGAGGAAGCTCCGAGCTCACTCCCAGCTGAAGTGGGAGCACTGGGCTCACAGCTCTGCGCTCCGGTGCCTGGCGGTGTCTGGTGGTGTCTCGTGGTGCCTGGCGGTGTCAGGTGGTGCCTGGCGGTGTCAGGTGGTGCCTGGCGGTGCCTGGCGGTGTCTGTGCCCTGCAGACACTCAGTAGACGCGAGTGGTTGGCTGAGTGCATGAATGAATGAATGTGTGTGTCACTGGCCATTGGTGACCCGCCTCCCGATTTCACTCACGCCCTTCGTCCCTTTCGGTGCCACACCCTGGGCTTCTCCCTGGGAACGAACGCAGGCTCAGCCCACACGGCCATGAGCCTGGGCACCCAGTGCCACCCCGTTCCGCTCTGGCCCTGCGTCTCTCCCCTCCCGTCCGCAGCTCGTGTGGAGGATTTTTAAATGTTGACCACATGGGAGTCCAGGCCCCATAGTCCCTTTGAGGACACTCACATCACACATCACGAGTCCTTGGTGCCACGCGAACGTTTCCCACGGCCTCTGTCCCGGGCGCCGCCCTGCACGCCTCTGACACGCGGCTTCTTCCTTCTCGCTCCGCAGTGTATGTTCTGCTGATTTACGTGTCTCCCCAACTATTCGCTCCTTTGATTCCCTTGAAGTAAAATACATTTTTCAGCCAGTGTTGCCGTATCTCTAAGATAATAGTCTCCCGTAACGGGAGCTATGGCAACATTTGCCGATCTGTGATGCGACCCACGCGGCACGGCTCCGGGGTGTCTGAGGGCGCCGCGTGCACTGTCGTTAGCGTCACGGGCTGCTCCTGGTCGGGATGGATGGGGAGCCGCGGTGACAGCGGCGTCTGCGACCCGCACAGGCCCTGACTCGCGCCCCCGAGATGCCGGCGGTGATGACAATAATCATGGCTCATGATTGCGGGCGCCGTGCTCCGAGCTTCCCAATCGAGCGCAGCCACATTTCCGTGATTTACTCCGATGGCAACAGAAAAAGAAAAGGAAAATCCTCAATTGCAGAAGCCACCGAGAGGCACTTACCGCCAAGCAGCGCCCTCAACGCCTGGCAGCGCCTCCGCCACTTGAGTTCAAGCTGCTCGTTAACATGGGGATCGGAGGGTAGAAGTGGGCTTTCTCAGGGCAGGGCTGGCTCCCGTTTGCTTGCCTGTGAGCGGCTGCCCTCCCCATGAGAACCTGGGCGGGTCCCTGGGGCCTCCCCACCCCTCGCTCTGGACGGGACTGTGGGCAAGTTCCCCACTTCTCAGCCTCGGCTTCCTGAGCTGGAAACTGGGCGCGCTGTCCCGCTCCTCTCTCCTCGGGGCGCTGCTGTGAGGTGTGAATGACCAGTGTTTGTAGAAGCCGCCTGGAGCCTGGCTGAGCGGGGACCCAGCAGCAGTCCGCCCGTCATCCCTCCCGTCCTGCCCCATGCACACGTCACCGGCTCTCCTCAGCAGCCCCCCTCCACCCCGGCCCGGAGGGCTCCCCCTCACCTGCTTGGGTTTGCTGTGTTCATGGCCCTGTGACCAGCAGGACAGGCCGGTGCCAGGACAGGCCGGGGCTGGGCAGCACCCCCATCAATGGGTTGGGGGATCTGCAGATGGAGGACCACGAGGAGGACTCACAGGAGGGCCTGCCTCCTCCCCTCCCACGAGCACAGGCTCTGCAACCCGGATGGTCCTGAGACGCGTCCGGTAAATCCACGTCACAGGGTCAGGGGTCAAGGTGACACGCTGGCCCCGCCTGGGTGTGTCTCTCCTCGGAGCGGCTGGTGCCCGAGGGAGGGAACGTCTGGGTGACTCCGGACCCGCAGAGCCGTGCCCAGTGCCCGAGGGACCGGCTCCGAGGCTCCGTGGATCGGCTCATTGCTCATCATTTAAGACGCAGTTAGATCAGAGACTCATTCCTGTGAACGGGCTACAGGGAAACCCCGTTACGGGGCCCCGTGAAGACTGGGAGGCGGGGGAAGTTCTACAATAAACCCCGGTGACAAACCGCAGTCAGGGGCGCAGTCCCGGCAGAGTCCCGAGAACCATCAGCCCCCCCCACCCCACCCCACCCCGTCTTCCTCCTCGGAGGGAAGCTGAGGGAGATGGGCTCGGCCACATGACCGCTGGTGCTTTTATAGAAAAGCGCTTCTCCGGCCTCCGCTGCCCGCAGCCCCTGCAGCCACAGTCCTGCCGGTTGCTTTCCCGTTTCTCTCAAAGCGGTGGGGTGCTCTCCCTCCTGCGGCTGTCTGTTGTTGCTCGTTCCGGCTGTCGCTGTGGGCAGTGGGCTTGATGGCGACCCCCCACTCCTCTCCATGGCGCAGTGACTCCGCCCTGTGCTCTGCCCCACGGTCCCCTCCGCCCTGGCATTTGTCACGCTGTCTGCGTGTCCCCGGCTGCGAGTCACCGTGCTCTCCGTCTGTCTCCGTTCGAAGCTGCAGCAGAAAGCCAAGATGCGATCTGCTTCCTTCGGTGGATGCTCTGGATCGGACTCGAATATATGAAACCGCCGTCATCGGTTACTGATGCGCTGACGGAGACTCTCACGGAGCTTAATCCCCAGATAAGCGAAACGTATCACTTGCAGGAACCGTTGGTCTCCAAGGTGTTAGCAAGCCCTCGGCACAGAGTGGGGGAGATGGAACACGAGAGGCGCCAGAGGGGCTCCCGTGTGGAGGCTGGACCTGGGGAAGGTGGATTCCTCCGGCCCCGAGTCCCATGCGCGTGTGAAAGTCACATTCTGCATCGGGCGTCGCCCTGGGCGTGGCCGGGGCAGTGTGGCCGAGCCGGGGCAGTGGGATGTGCTGGGCAACGGAGGACGAGGGCTCGTGGCTTCTGCTGCATCACGGACGCCATGTCCTCACCACCCCTGGAACTAGGTAGGGTTGACCCCAGTGACCTCGTTAGCATAACCCAGTGATGGCGAACCTTTTGAGCTCGGCGTGTCAGCATTTTGGAAAACCCTAACTTAACTCTGGTACCGTGTCACATATAGAAATTTTTTGATATTTGCAACCATAGTAAAACAAAGACTTATGTTTTTGATATTTATTTTATATACTTAAATGCCATTTAACAAAGAAAAATCAACCAAAAAAATGAGTTCGCGTGTCAGAGGTGTCATAGGTTCGCCATCACTGGCATAACCCCAGGTGGCCCGGGGCCAGGAGTAACAGTCCCCTCACTCAGGAAAGCCCAGGGTTGGAAGTTCCCTCCCAGGAACCGGACGGAGACCAGCCAGGCTCCGCGTTACAGCCGTAGGCGGCCCTGAGCCACGCTCACGCTGAGCATGTCTTCGGGAGGGACTCACTCAACAGCGTTGGTTCCGTTTTCTGAGCGAAGCAACTCAGGAGGACGGGGGGGAGGGTAGAGCGGCATTTTTCATCCGGAACGCCTTCCGTCGGGGTCCTTGGGGGACGCCAGAGAGAGTGTGGCTATTAGAGAACTCAAATGGAAATAACAGCTCCTTTTTAAAAAATATATATTTTTATTGATTTCAGAGAGGAAGGGAGAGGGAGATAGAAATATCCATGATGAGAGAGAATCATTGATCAGCTGCCTCCTGCAGGCCTCACACTGGGGATCAAACCCGCAACCAGGGCGTGTGCCCTGACCGGAATCGAACCCTGACCTGCGGGTTCATAGGTCGATGCTCAACCACTGAGCCAACCCGGCCAGCCAGTAGCTCTTTTTTTAACTTCAAGCTCATTCACAACAAAGAAAAGAAGCGGGAGTCCAGGCCCAGTTGCTTCTTCATTGTGCTCGCTCAATGCCACGTCCACGTCAGAAACGCTTGCCCATGGACGGTGCGATGGGCGGAGCGCTGTTTCTCGGGTCGCAGCGAGCACGGCGGCCTAGGAAATCTCAGAGTGATGAGTGCACTTTCCGGATTACAGTATCAAGTGTAGCCACCGCTTTCTGTGCTGACCCGTGGGCTCAGCAGTAACTGATGCCTGGGGAGATCAGGCCTAGTGAGTGGGTGGCACAGGTGGCACTGGGCGTCCGCTCTCCCCGGCATCCCTAGGCCATGAGGCAGGTCCTCTCCCAGCCTTGGGAGACCTGGGGGTTCGGGGGGAAGAGGGGGCACGTAGCTGCCGATGGAGGCGGCAGAGCGCCCTGGGAGAGCCCGCGCCCTCCATGGACGCTCTGTGACCGCGAGTCCCACGAACACCTTCCCCAGCGTCTGCAGAACCCACTCGCTTCCCCTACCACCTCGCTGTGTGCTGTGACTCTCCTGCGGTGCGGGCCTGTCCCCACCGCATTGCCCTCTCGGTGCTTCTCCCGGCCTCCCGCGTGCAGCAGGGGAGAGGGCGCAGGACACCCCTGCGACCCCCATCCTCGGAGAATGTGCAGGCGCGTTTTGGCTGGAAACTCCCAGTGCCGGACCCGTGTTAGGTCCCACTTCCCGGCCTTTCCTGCGGGTCGGCTGACTGCCTCTCGCGAGCAGCCTCAGGTTGTAAAACCCGTGGGTGGCCACTTGTTTAATGACACTCCGTGTGGGAATGGCGCCTCCCGCCCAGTCCAAGCTGCAGTCCCCGGCCCCTTCAGGCCCACCAGGGGCCTGGGCGAGTCGGGCTCGGAGAGCAGCCACGCCTGAGTGTGCGGGCGGGTGTCCGAGGCGGGAGGCACGCTGCTTGTGTTGGGCGTATGGTACGTTCTCCCTCTCAGCATGGCACACGGGACGGCGGGCACGGGCCGGGCTCCCTCGGTCTGACCTGTGTTCTCTCCTCTGACCCTCGCCCCCCAGTGAGCTGCCGCACCCCCCGCAGAACCTGCTGGCCCGCCTGGACGCCGCGCACAGCCACGCGGTGCTGCTGAGCTGGGTGCGCCCCTTCGACGGGAACAGCCCAGTCCTGCGCTACGTGGTGGAGCTGTCGGAGAACAGTGAGTAGCGGCGGGCAGTGGGCCCCGGGTTCCCTCTGGGCCTCAGTGTCCTTCACCCTCGGTCCTGCTCAGGCCCACACGGTGCTTCACGGAGTCACCGCCGAACCCGGCTCTGGGTTAGGCAAGGTCAGCGGCGCGTGGGAGCCCCGTGGGGCAGAGGAATGGCGGGGCCTCCTGTGAGCCTGGGTCTGGGCTGCAGCCCCATGGGGGGCGGAGGAGGGCCATGCACACAGGCTGCCCTGAGCGGGTCCTGGGTTCGGTGTTGTCCCTGAAATGAGCTCCTCATGCCTCCCCTTGGGGCCGATTTGCACGTCGACTGCACCGTGATGGGGAACGTCTCTGCACGTGTCCTCGGGGGCAGCGTGTGCCCCGCATCCCGGCATCCAGTGCGCCCTTCCTCTCCTCACGCCCCGACCTCTCGCAGCAGCGACACTGCCCTCCCCACGCTCACTCCCGGCTCTCCTGCCGCCCCTGGTGCCCTCCATCCCTTTGTGGTGGCCGCGCAGAAGTCCCCGTTGTAAGAATAGATGCTGGGCTTCGGAGCGTGGTCCAGCCTCCGCCGGCCTCTCCAGATGCGCCTCCAGCCGCTCAGGCTCGGCTTTGCGCGCTCGGCAACAAGGCGTCGCTCCACCCTGCGCCCCTGCACTCACAGGCCCTCAGTGCCCAGCCTGCGCCCTGCTGGACCTGCCGTCCCTCCCTGCACCCGCCCCCCGTCCGTCCGCCCCCCCCCCCGCCCCCGCGTGTCAGCGCCCGTCCCTCTCCTCTCTGGGGGTGCTGTCTCACGTCCTGCTGGGCCTTCCTGGCACAGATACCCAAGGGGCCCTGGGGGCACCGAACACAGGCTGGGCCCCAGCCCTGGTGGAAACATCTGGAAGGAAACAGTTTGCGGGACATTCCGCGCCCTCGTCCGGAAGACTGAGGAATGAGATCCTCACTCGCTCTGGTCTCGGAGCCGCGTGGCCCTATTCCCGGGCTGCCCGGCGCTTTCCCGGCGCCGCCTTCCTCCGCCGCGTCTGTCAGTGCCCTTCCCTGCTTTCCGCGAGGCCTCGGGTTCCTGTCGTTTGTGACGGGTGTGCCTCCCGCCTGCTCTGCTCCCTCATTCTATGTGTAACTGTCTGGCAGCCGGAGTGTTTGGTTTTTATGTACTTACACCCACCGGTGTTTTCCTTTATGATTCCCTTTATTGCTCTCCTGTTTGGCTGTTTCAGCACTGAGTATAGAATATGTCTTCTTACACGTTTCTTCTCGCTGTTGTTCTTTTCTTTATCATTTTGTTTTTCTAACATCTTTTGTATTAAATGGACTGGGGTGACATTGGTCGTCAACATGATCGTATAGGTTTCAGGTGTGGTCTTCTTGCCTTTACTTTTTTGAATATATTTTTATTGGTTTCAGAGAGGAAGGAAGAGAGGGAGAGAGAGAGAAACATCAATGATGAGAGCGATTCATTGATCAGCTGCCTCCTGCACACCCCACACTGGGGCTGGAGCCTGCAACCCAGGCATGTGCCCTGACCGGGAATCGAGCCATGACCTCCAGGTTCATAGGTCAACATTCACCCGCTGAGCCCCGCCGGCCGGGCTGGCCTTCTTGCTTTTAAAGCTGTAAGTTGTGATGCATTTGACTCCAGTTCACCTGGAACTCGGCTGTGCTGCGTGTTTCGACACGGGAGTTCTCTTTTCCCAATGGCCTCCCCTCCCCCGCGGTGTTCCGGAACAGTCTACTTCCTGGGGCTGGGTCCGTTTTTACGTGTTAAGAGGCCCTGTTTATACAACAGGCTGTTTGGGGTTCATTTGCACCCATTGATTCATCTTCTGGTTTTCACCAGTTTTAGAGCATTTTCCTTGGTTTGGTTCCAACACTTGTCATCGCTGATAAAAAGTGAGTCCCCTCACCGTTCAGAATGTTGTTACTTCTTGTCACCTGTTGCTTCTTTCAGGAAAGAAGTGGAATTATTTTGCAAAGTTTCAAAGCTAGCCTCCTTGCCAGTGTAACCTCGTTAAGGCTGTGGTGAGGTTTTGAGCACTGACTTCCTGGTCGTCCTGTCTTCTCCTCCGTGGACCGAGGCTCCCACCCTCTCGGGAATGGTGCCCTCCGATTAGTCCTGGCGCGTGACCGGGATCTCCTCCCGCCCCTGCTGGCCAGGCGTGCGCGTGGGAGCGTGGGGAACACGTCTTCCGTTTGGCCACTCCCCGGGCACGCGTTATTCTAACGAGGGTTCAACCGATCCTCTTAGTTTTCCAGGGAGACAATCACATCTTCTCCAAACGATAAAAAGTGCTGTTTTCTTTTTGTTTTTATATCTTGCTGGCTGGTCAGAATAACTTTAAAATAATCAGTATAGGAGCACCTCCTGTTGTTCATTCTCTGTCACAGTGGAAGGTCTACTAGGATCTTACTGTTATGTGTGGTGTTGAGTGGGAGGGACGGAGAGAGAAACATCGATGTGAGAGAGACACATCAATTGGTTGCCTCCCACACGATTGCCCCACCAGGGCCGGGGATCAAACCGCAAATTATTCTTAAACAAACTGAATACTTTGTTTAGCAATAGCCTCCTGTTTACGCGGTAGCGCCCCCTCTGACCGCCTGCCGGCTCACCGCTCCGGACGCAGTGGCGATGTGCCGGCCGGGGAGAGGACGGGCCATGAGACCACCGCTGGGCTGGAGGCTGCGGGCCAGGCGTGTGGGGAGACGGGTGGGGACAGGCCACTCCTGTCCCTGAGACTGGATGCACCTGACAGAGCGCAAGCCGTGAAGGGAAGGTTCCTGTGGACACAGGGTGCCCCCCTTGTGCTGTGGCCCCCGAAAGGCTCCAGGCTGTTTGCTGGACAGAGTGGCAGGGACTGGTGCCGGGTGCCTCGGGCGCAGCTGCAACCTGAAGTCCGTGTAGCGTGTTCCTAGCAGCTCGCGTTTCAGGGCGCTGACGTCTAGCTCATTCCCCTCTGGGCTTTCACACGGAACCTCACACGAGTGGCGTCTGCTCCCACTTAAAACCCACGAGGGGGGTGGGGGTGCATGTCACAGCTACCTACTGCTCTTGGCTGTGTCGTCGGCCCAGATCGGGGCTAAGGTGCAGGGTTTGGGGTTCTCTCCCCCTGGATCCCAGCCGGCAAATGATGGAGAGATGTCCCCACGTCCCCTGCGGCCCGTCCTGTCCCCAGACTGACCGCTTCCCATGCAGGTGGTCATCGTGACCCCTCACGCAGGACAAAGTGCCCTCCTCTACCCCCCTCATGTCTGCCCTGAGGCCGGTCAGCTCCTGCCGAGAGGGCCCGTGTCCACCCGGCACCGCCAGTCAAGGGTGGGCCCATCCCCAGCCAGCGTCACGGTGCGTCTCCTGCCCGAAGCTGAGCCCACACCCGGGATCTGTGCAGTCCCCACTGCCGCTCTGGCCCCCTCCCCTTCTTGGAAGCAAACGGCTTCCCCAGCTCGTTCCAGGGCGTCCTGTACGAAATGACCAAATGCCCCGGCCAAAGGATGCGTGCGCTCTGCGAGCAGATCACACAGGCCCGCAGGCCCTCGAAGCTCCAGGCCAGGGCCCCTTGGCCACAGAGGGGCTCCACACACCTGCGGGCACACCTGCGGGCACAGCTGCGGGCACACCTGCGAGTACACCTGCGGGCACAGCTGTGGGTACACCTGCGGGCACACCTGCAGGCACAGCTGTGGGGTACACCTGTGGGCACAGCTGTGGGGTACACCTGCGGGCACAGCTGTGGGGCACACCTGCAGGCACAGCTGTGGGGTACACCTGTGGGCACAGCTGTGGGGTGCGAGCAGATCACACAGGCCCGCAGGCCCTCGAAGCTCCAGGCCAGGGCCCCTTGGCCACAGAGGGGCTCCACACACCTGCACACCTGCAGGCACAGCTGTGGGGTACACCTGTGGGCACAGCTGTGGGGTACACCTGCAGGCACAGCTGTGGGGTACACCTGTGGGCACAGCTGTGGGGTACACCTGCGAGTACACCTGCGGGCACACCTGCGGGCACACCTGCGGGCACAGCTGTGGGGCACACCTGCGGGCACACCTGCGGGCACACCTGCGGGCACAGCTGCAGGCACCGGGAGAAAGACACTCCAGGCGGCTGCGAACCTCATCGTGTCTCCAGCCAAAGCCGCTCCGTGGCTGGTGGAACGGCCACGCAGACCCGCCCCTCTGTCTATCTGCTCACGAGCCCTTTTACTAAAATGTTAATGGCTGGAGTCTGTATTTATCGCTGGGAGACACCCGTGCACCCTGTTCTGGGAAGGAACCTGCCTGGGAGCGGGCAGCGAGCCCTTCTCTGTAGTGACGGGGACGAGGAGCAGGTGCCCATCGGCACCGCCACACCCATGTCGCACAGAAAGCTGTTGCTGGCGGCGGCACGGGGGATGGGAGATACTGGACTCAGAGCGGGAAGTTCAAGGCCCGGCTCCTGGGTCGCTGGCCCCGGGGCCCTGAGCCTCAGCTTCCACATTGTTAAGTGGGCGCCACCCTGCACCCCCCGGGGCTGCCACCCTGGCGTGCGGGCCGGTTCACGGGGACACGGGCGGTTCGCTTGCTCTCCCTCAGACGTGCACTCACAGGTGTGAACCTGCTCTGCTTCTTGCAGACTCTCCGTGGAAAGTGCACCTGGCGGACGTGGGCCCCGAGATGACAGGCGTGGCCGTGCGCGGCCTGACTCCCGCTCGCACCTACCAGTTCCGCGTGTGCGCCGTGAACCAAGTGGGCAAGGGCCAGTACAGCGCGGAGACGAGCAGGTGAGTGCCCGTCCCCGGTGGTGACGGGGCGGAGGGGGCCTGACAGCAAGGGGAGCGCCGAGGAAAGGGGGGACGACCAAGCCACCAGCCCCCCGCCGGGGCCACCCCGCAAAGACGACGTGGGAAAAACTGACAGACGGGCCGCGCAGGGGGCCGAGCGAGGCTGCGCATGGCGCTGAGCAGTGTCGGAGCCACGGCGTACCTGTGCGCGGCCGTGGGGCACGTGCCGTTAGGAGTTTAAGCGTTAAGCCCCGGCCAGTTTGGCTCAGCAGTTAGAGCGTCTGCCCACAGACTAAAAGGGTCCCGGGTTCGATTCCGGTCAAGGGCACGTACCTCCATTGCAGATTTGATCCCAGCGGGGAGGCAACCAATCCATATGTCTCTCTCACATCAATGTTTCTCTCTCTCCCCCTCCCTTCCACTTTCTCAAAAAATCAATGGGAAAACATCCTCAGGTGAGGATTAACGAAACCAAAAAGGAGTTTACAGCGTTCAGTGCCTTTGCCCGTCCCAATGCCGCCAGGTGGGCGCAGGCGCCACCGCCTTAAAGGGGACTGAAGGAGCCGCAGGGTCTCCGGGGCTGTCACCTCCCTCAGGGGTCTCTCCGCTCGCCCGTCCCCGGGGTGCGGGGCGGGAAGTGCCACCGTGCCGTGTCTGTGAGCCTCCCACCAGCCTGCGCTCTCCGCGGGCGGGAGTCAGGAACTAGTGGAATGAGAGGAACGAAAATGCCTTTTCTAAAACATGGAGTTGGCTGTGCGGAGTTGGACAGAGCGAAGAAAATAATTTGGAAGGGGCGGGCGCGGGCCTGCAGGCCATCTCCTCGGCTGCGAGGCTTTGAAAGAGCCCAGGGGGGTTGTTCAGACAGAACAGGCCCCTGTGCCTGCTGATGCCTGCTAGCTGGTGCCCTCCTGTGTGGGGTTGTTGACAGAACAGGCCCCTGTGCCTGCTGGTGCCTGCTAGCTGGTGCCCTCCTGTGTGGATCTGCTCAGCTACGTCAGGCTCAGCCCTCCCGTGGGATGGGCTGTGTGTCTCACGGTCTTCGTCGCTCGATGTTGGTAAACAGTTGGGCTCGGGATCCAGCCCGACGGCGAGTGCAAATGCGAGTCCTCCGAGCCGGCGCTGACCTCTCCTTCCTCCGTCTTCATTTCCAGGCTGATGTTGCCGGAAGAACCGCCCAGTGCGCCCCCGAAAAACATAGTGGCCAGTGGGCGCACCAACCAGTCCATCATGGTGCAGTGGCAGCCGCCCCCCGAGACGGAGCACAACGGGGTGCTGCGCGGCTACATCCTCAGGCAAGTGGCCGGGCTGGCCGGGGCGGGGCTGTCACGGTGGAGGCGGGCGTCTCTTTAGCTGAGGTTGCGAACGCGAATGTGTATAGGAGCCCAGTGTAAGCAAGCGGTGAGCCCAGTGGTGAGCTCCAGGGAGTGGTGGGGAGTGCGGCAAAGTGCAGAGGCCGGGTGCTCGGTAGCTGGCAGAGCTGGGGTCCGTCTGTAGGGTTACACATAGGACACGGTGTCGGTGGCTGCCTTTTGGGAGAAGCATGGGGCAAGGTGCACCCTTCCTCGTAGATGCTCTCATTCTGAGCTTTTACCAGGGGCGTGAACTACTATCCGCCATGATTTTTAATGAATAACAATGCAGCTGAGTGAGTTATTAACCAGACGTTACCACGCCGGCATGTTGCTCAGTGTTGCCAGGTTTCCTCGTGTTTCAAAGGAATTATAAAGTCGAGCTTTCTACATGCAGTCTCACAGCTTTCCAGGGTTGGGCGTGAAATCAAAATACTTTGAAACACAGGGCAGGCCACACTCACACACCTGCAGGCAGCCTGGCCCCTGCCCCGGGGGGGTGGGCAGGCCGGAGGGACGTGGGAGGACCTGCCGGAAGGGCTGCGGGGCTGCGTGGGAGGGAGGACCCCTCCTTCGCCAGAACGCTAACTCGAAAGCTGCCCGACTGTGCTAATTACAGTCGTTTGTTGACACGAGTGAAGAGAAGAAAACAGCGGATTAAAGGGTAATTACTGCATCCCTTCCAGTGGGCTGCCCAGCGGGGCCGTGTGTTAATCGGGCGTGAACTCTGCCCCCTCACAGCCTGTGGGGCAGGGGGCAGGTGCCGTCCCCACCTTCCCCCCGCCCGCCCGGCCCTGCTGAGCGGAACCAGAAGGTCCGGGGCTGACGGAGGGGCTGAGGGTAAAGCCATTTCCCAGGCAAATGGAGGAAATGCAGGAAGTGCTGCCTCCTCGGCGCCAGTGTCTTCGCATGTGGAGGACAGCGCACCCGTGTGTATGTCCGCATCGCGCATTTGTCATTTCACACATGTCAATCTGCGTGCGGGGCTGCTTGCCTGTCACAACCGTGTCCCCGTGACTCTCAAGTTCCTCCCCCAGCATGTGAATCACCCTCAACACTGGCCAGACCACCCTCTGCCTGAAGGGGCTTAAAAGCAGCCGCCCGAAGGGTGCACGGGGTCCGTAGGGCGGGACCAGCTGGGCCTGCCCCCCTCCCATGCCCCAGCTGCCCTTCCCGCTCCAGAGGAGGGAAGGAGACCGCCGTCTGCCCGCTGCAGGAGGGGCGCCGTGGCTCGGTTCCTGTCTGCTCGCCCTGCCCACCCCTGTGCGGCCGTCACGCTTGTCCTGGGCTCACCCACTAATGGAAATGACCGGCCTCACGCCCTGGGCCCCACCACGCGCGCCTCCAGCGGCTGCCTGGGTGGGGCACACGGAGGAACGCTCCTGAGGCCCCGGGAGGACGTTAGCAGTCAGCCCACGGGCCGCTCCGGGCGGGTAGTTAATAATGAAATCTCTCTGATGCCGAGGCCCCTGGGCCGCGCGTCCCTCTGTTTGCGGGATTACTGCTGTTAAAAGGATTTTCCGCGCTGGAGCCAGCGGCCGGGGCTGGGAAGGGGGCTGTGCACGTGTCGGGGCTTAAATCTGACAGCCCCGAAGTGAGGACGCGATACCAGGGCCCGCCATGTCAGTGTTTCCGGGAATTACAGACCCGGCCGAAGTGGATTTGCTCGGAAACATCCCCGAATCGTCCCCCGGCTTGCAAACCAGCTGTGTGCACAGCACGCACCCCCAGGGCCCGTGCCTCCTGTGGAACCACAGAGGAAATAAATGCCGTCAGGGCTCCGCGTGAGAAATCGTCAGGACGCGTGCGCAGCCATCACATATTTACCGTGATGGGCAGGGAGTTCCTTCATGAAGAGCATCAGGGCTGTGTCCTTTGTAAACGCTCTCCTGTTATTTCCACATAAAAGTCATCTTGTTCCGTCAGAGAAAACGCCCTCCCTCCTGCCGTGGACCTCGCCTTCCCCGGCGTCCTGTGGCTGCGGCAAAAGCACCCCGAGCCACGGTCAGGATGGCCCGGCCTGCGCCGCAGAGGACACGGCCGGGGCCGGGACACGGGCTCTGCCGCTCATCCTGCACCGACGCGGGGAGAGGCCTGGAGACGGTGCTGATGGGTGCGGCCGCGTTTCTCAGAACTGGCTCCCACCCGCATCCCAGGAGAGGCGCCTTCGGAGAGGAAGGGGTAGGGGCGCCCTCGGAGAGGAAGGGGTAGGGGCGCCCTCGGAGAGGAAGGGGTAGGGGCGCCCTCGGAGAGGAAGGAGTAGGGGCGCCCTCGGAGAGGAAGGAGTAGGGGCACCGTTGAAGAGAAAGGAGTAGGGGCGCCCTCGGAGAGGAAGGGGTAGGGGCGCCCTCGGAGAGGAAGGGGTAGGAGCGCCCTTGGAGAGGAAGGGGTAGGGGCGCCCTCGGAGAGGAAGGAGTAGGGGCACCGTTGAAGAGAAAAGAGTAGGGGCGCCGTCGGAGAGGAGGGGGTAGGGACGCTCCAGTCACCTTGCCCTGCAACGCCCTGTGCAGGGCCATGGCTGTCACGTGAGGGAGCAGAACCGGGCAGAGAGTGAGGGGAGCTGAGGCCACCCAGCTCCTGCGTCTTCTTCCCACGGAGTCCCGGGAGCTCAGCTCTGCCTGCCCCTGGACGCACATGGTGGCGTCCACGTGAGGTCCCCACGAGCGAGCTTCCTCTGCCGTCGCCCGGCTGTGCCATGGGCTGTGCGTGGTCCTGGGCCCCTCACACAGCAGGACACTCGAGTGCGGGTGGGTGTGAGCCCTTTTCCCCTCTTCCCAGACGGCCCCTAGCAGTGCCAGGGCCGAGAATGCCCGAAGTTCATGTCTGCTGCGTGGGGAGGTTTGGGGTCAGTATCTGACCCAGGCTTCTCCCAGGCCGGTCCTCTCCCCGTTGTTTCTCTGGGGGACCCCCGCCCCATAACCCAGCTCCACCCAGAGAGCGCCTTCACATGCTGGCACCGGCGGGGCCGAGGTCAAGGGACGCAACTCGGGAGGGGGCAGAGGTCAGTGGGGCATGAAGCAAAAATGGGGTTTGACGCATTAGTCACAGAAGGACCCTGTGTCCCAGGGCTGCCCCCGGGCGGGGTGCACAGAGCCTGGGGCCTCCATGCCACTGCGTCAGGCAGGCCCCGCCGAGCACGGGTGGCCCCAGGTGGTCCGTAGTGAGGGGGGCTCCTCAGGAGGCCCGGGTTTCCATGAAGAGCCCGTCCTCAGTGCGTTGGCAGCCTCCTCTCTGGGAGGGCTGTTCTCCGTCAGGGGCCTGGATTTCGGGGTTCCTCCGTCGCTCTGATGGCAGCGGCCTTGCTGGCCCTCTGGCCGGCCCCGGGGACAGCACAGGTCACTGGCCGGGACTGCGCAGCCTCAGAGCCTCTCTGCGTCAGGAAGGAGCCTGGGGACCCCGACCTGCCCGAGACCCCGCGGCTCCTGCCTCACTGCAGCTGCGCCTCCTCCCTCGGCGGCTCCCTTCCCCGCTCCCCTTTCCTCACACAGCCAGGCGCCTCCCCCAGAGCCACTCTCGCTCTGGGTGGAACTCTGATGCCTGGAAGCTGCACCGGGACTGGGGACCCCTGTCCACGCCCCTCGCCTCCCCAGGGCACCGATCAGCTTCTCGAAATGGAGCCAGGAAATGCTGGCCGCCCGGAGGAGGGCGGAGGGCGCCACACCCTCCAGGCGGGACAGGGTCTCCTCGTTCACACGCCTACGCCCAGGGGAGGCCTGTCCCTCTTTAAAATGAATGAATTCAACTGTAGCCCAGCCACAGGGCTCAGTGGCTGAGCGTCAACCTATGAACCAGGAGTCACTGTTCAATTTCGGTCAAGGGCACATGCCCAGGTTTCGGGCTCAATCCCCAGTGTGGGGCGTGCAAGAGGCAGCCGATCCGTGATTCTCTCTCATCACTGATGTTTCTCTCTCTCCCTCTTCCCTCCTCTCTAAAAACAATAAAAATATATTTTAACATAATAGTAACAAAATGAACGCAACTATAAACCTGGGCCCTGGGCATCCTGCAGAGCCTACTGCGAGCTCTGAGGGCCCCCGCAGGCTGATCGGCACACCCAGCAGTGGCTAGTGCGCTAGGGGCGGAGCACCTTTGAAAGCCCCTGGCTCTGGTTCTGGGGCCTGGTTCTGGTTCTGGGCCTGCGTGAATGAATCTGACCTCCTGACTGGGGCCAGAGTGCGGCTTCTCTCCCCCAACATTCCAGCCACAGGAAGCACCGCTCAGATGGCTGACAGCACCCCCACTTCCCCCCGGAAGTCATGTCAGGAGCTCTGGGTGCTAAGTTCCTACACTCCCGGGACAGTCACACCTGAAAAGCCGGACTCCTTAACCGCTAACTCAGTTCATAGGTGGCTGTGTCTCTCTCGCCCAGGGCTATGGTCACAGTGAGGCGAGACTCCACCTTTTTAACAGGTGAATTCGGGGTTGGCGTGTCCGGCTCCCTGGCCTTACTGCTGTTCCCTCACTCCCACCCCCTCCCCGAGAGGAGCTGGGTGAGGGTGTCCCTGGAGTCACCTCTTGGTCTGCGCAGGTACCGCCTGGCCGGGCTGCCGGGGGAGCACCAGCAGCGCAACATCTCCAGCCCCGAGGTCAACTACTGCCTGGTGACCGAGCTCATCGTGTGGACGCAGTACGAGATCCAGGTGGCCGCCTACAACGGCGCCGGCCTGGGCGTCTTCAGCCGGGCGGTGGCCGAGTACACGCTCCAGGGAGGTAAGCCGTGCCGCCAGCGCCGGGCCCTGGGGGGAGCAGGGTTCGCAAGGCTGGATGGGAGCAGCTGGAAACGAAAGTGGAGGGTTCGCTCCCCCAGTTAATGTAACCTCTCCCTCTATCCCGAGAGGACGGTAACCAGGAGGGGCAGGCGTGTGCTCACTGCCCTCTCGGCCGCCAGGACCGGCCGTGGCTGCACACGCCGGCTGGTCCCCGAGGTCGGCACTTGCTCCGCGCGGAGTGGGGTCTCTGTGGCTGGAGTCCCGGTGAGCCTGTGCGTGCCTGAGGGAATGAGTCCGTGAAGTCCGTTTTCAGTGATGCGCTCGGAGGAGGAGGGGGAACGAAACTGGCAGTTGGTGTTTGTTATTGTTGCTTTCAGTTACTCAAGCAAACAGCTTACTGGTCAGTAAAACTTCTCCCCCAAAAGCCGGGCGGCTGTCATGAAGCGGAGCCTCACTCTCCCCACGCGCTCGGCCCGCCCGGCACCTTCCGCTCTTTACGGTCCAGTCCCACTGCCCGGGAGGACCCGGCTCGGCCCGGGAGGCGCTGGGCGTGGGCCAGTGCCCTCGGCTGCCGGTGCCCTATCGCCCCCCGCGCAGGTGCGATCTCACCGGCCGGGGCGTTTTCACTGCTCCCGGGCCTCGCCCCGCGCAGGTGCGATCTCACCGTCCTGGGCGTTTTCACTGCTCCCGGGCCTCGGCCTTTTTCACACGACAAGGTTTCTCACTGCCACTTCTCTCCCCAAGTCACGGCCGAGACCTAACGGCCCCTGAAGTCACCCGCTGTCGTCCTCTTCCCTTATGGACCGGCTGCCGCTGTCGTCCCGGAGACCAGGCCTCAGTCCTCCCTAAAAGTCAGGAGCCGTCGCTCTGCATTCCCAGTGCCGAGTGGGAATATCCCCCACTCGAGGCAGGCAGGGGCCGTCCATCGCGAGCGGCCTCTCTCACCGCCGGGGAGTGAGGAGGCCGGAGCCGGGACTGCGTGTCTCTTCAGGCAGCCTGTTCCAGGGGAGAGCGGCTGCGACCGGGACTGCGCATCGTCCCCACGCGGGAGTGTCGCACAAGGGGAATTTGACAGGCGGGTCCCGATCCACTGGGGCGTCAGGCGACAGAAGGGACCTTCCCTCGCGCCCCTGGAACACGCTCCGGCTGGAAGTGTGCTCGCGTCTCGCTGCTCGATTTGTAGGTCGATGTGTCACATTTTAGAATTCGGGGCAGAAAGGCCACGAGGCCCTGCTGATAAGATGCAGTCACGGGGATCCGTGGTCGCAATAACAGATGGAGGGCGAGGGCAAGGGCGAGGGCGCGTGCAAGGTCCGGGGTGGGGCCGTGTACATCACACAGTCCCTGCGTCCAGGGTCCAGGCTGAGCACGTGAGGAACCCACGACAGACCCACACTTCTCTCTTGTGCATTCAAATCGGAGACCGGTTTGGGGAGAACTGATGTCTTGGTTAGGTTGCCTCCCAACCCATTAACGTGCTGTGACTCTCCGTTTGCTTAGGTCTTGCTTCTGTGATCACTGTTCTGACTTTTTAGCATCTGCCTGTCACAGCCCCTTGTGATTCCCCCAACTGAGACGGAACGTGTCCTCGGTGTTCTAGAGAATTCCGTCCCAATCACTCCGGGAGCCCGGGAAGCCATGTGCTCTGGGTCCCCGGGAGGAGGCCCTGGGGCATCGTTCCGTCTGCCGATCGCCCGATCACTGGGCCTTCTTCCTGCCCCCAGCTCGGCCGCTTCCCGCCATGGACACGCGCTCCCGTGAGCTCAGTTCGAGGGGGGCGTGTCTGGGGCCCTTTTTGTTGCCGGTTTTTCGGCTCATGCCGAAGCCACAGGAAGGAATGCGTGGCCGTGGAGGGGGCAGGTGGAGAGCCTTTACGGGGAGCACGTGGGCATCGCCGTGGCAGCCGCCCACCCCGCAGGCCGCGTGGACTGCGGGCTCCTCCCCCTAACGTCCACTGAGACAGGAGGCCGGCTTCCCCCGAGGGGCCAGGACAGAGGCCGCTGTAAATGGCCACTGTGCGCACGCCCGGGCTCTCATTTCTTCCCGGTTTGGTTCCTCATCGTCTCTCTTCCTGCCACAGGCCTTCTGTGCTGCGAGGGTTTGTTCTGGTTTCAGGACATCACCTCCTAATGGGAGGGGAGCGTTTCCCGTCCTACGGAAACGAGGGAACGTTTGATTATCCACTTTCCGGAACATCAGTGCCGCCGCTGACGTTCACTCGGGCTCGGCACGGCGTCTGAAGTGAGGGCTGCAGACAGCAGACGCTCGGTCTGCGGCTCCCGTCTCGCCCTCGCGGGACACCCTCAATGGGGCAAAAATGCCTTCGCACCAAGGTTTGTCTCCACAGTGACGTCCGTCTCTGGCCCACGTGTAACCCGTCGGAGGTGCCTTCTGCCCTGCAGTGCCTCCTACTCCCATCTCGGGGCACGAGATAGGGCACTGCCGCCTCCCGCGTCCGCACCCGCCTGTGGTTCCTGTCATGTCCTCGCGGGGCCGTGAGCGCTGGGAGCTCCCACCAGAGCGCCCGTCCCTGGCGGTGAGAATGAGCCGTGTCCAGGGGCATGGGCCGCGTGGCATTTACAACTGGAACACACCGGGATCTGCACGGGGCACCCGTTATCTGGTGGGAGTGGGGCTTTCTGGGCAAGGAGAACCACAGAGCACACGTTCATCTTACCGTGGTGTGCAAAGGTGGTGCTTTAAATGCTAATCATCACAGTGGCTGAGCGTTGACCTACAAACCAGGAGGTCACAGTTCCTTTCCCGGTCCGGGTACAGGCCTGGGTTGCGGGCTTCATCCCTGTGGGGGGCGAGCAGGAGGCAACCGATCCATGATTCTCTCTCATCATGGATGTTTCTCTCGCCCTCTCCCTTCCTCTCTCTGAAATCAATAAATATTTTTTTAAAATGCTAATTATCATAGAAAATGTCCCTGAGGCCTGATTCCTGATTCCAAGCTGCAGGCGGTCGGCTTCCTGCTCAGGCCTGGGGGACAAGCCCTCTGTGAACACTGGTCCCCCGCTGGGCCCTGTCCTTGCTCAGAGGGGCTCAGAGGGGTGGGGTCCTGTAACCCCAGCTGGGCCCTGTCCTTGCTCAGAGGGGTGGGGTCCCCTAACCCCTGTAGTTGAGCCTTCCGGCCTCGAGGGCTCCTGTGTGGGATGCATTGCAGGGCGGGTGCGCTGGCTGCAGGGCTTTTTCTCACTCGAGAAAATGTTTAATTCCATTGCCCACAAATTTGCGAGTCACTCTGATGACAATAATTAGGAAAAAGAGAAGAGGGCTGAGAAGAGTTGGAGGTTTTTTAACACTTGGAGTGGGGGAAACGAGTTAAGTCGGCTCGCGTGAATTGCGCGTACTCCGCGGGAGCCGTCTTTAACTCGGTTCATATAGATTTGCGGTGGAGTGCGGGAAACGTGTAAACTCGGGCCGATTGTAACTGCGTATTACCAAATATTTGTTTGTAATCCACCCTTTTGGTGGATGGAACAAAACCAAAAGACAGAGCCATCTTATATTTTGGCGGGAAATTCACCCCACACCGGAGTGTTAATAAAGTGGGGGGGGGGGGCGGTAGTCGGAGGCCTGAGCCTGTGTCCTCTGACTGGGGCGGAGCCTCCGTGAGCTCTGATGGGGGACAGAGAGGACAGAGGATTCTGGAATCTCCCGGGTAGTGAGGAGGCTGTTCTCTGATAAGGTCTGGGTGTGGACCCAGATGGGGGTTTGCACATGGACACCCATTCTTCCTGGCACCGTTGTTACAAAGCATCCTTCCTCCAGAGCACTGCCCTGTGCGTCAGTAAAGCTCAGCTGGTGCACACGCGGGTGCTTTCTGGCTGCTCCGTGGGCCGGCATGTCCGTCTTTTCTGCAGTGACTCTGTTTAATTCCTGTAGGTTTATAGTTCGTATTATGCAGTTTCGTTCTTTTCCAGAATTGTTTTGTCTATTTAATTCCCTTACTTTTCCCCATAAATTTTAAAGTCAACTTCCCAATCTCTAAAAGCTCCTAGCAACAGCGTTGCTAGGGTGGCATTCAAACCGGAGACCGGTTTGGGGAGAACTGATGTCTTGGTTAGGTCGCCTCCCAACCCATTAACGGGCTGTGACTCTCTGTTTGCTTAAGTCTTGCTTCTGTGATCACTGTTCTGACTTTTTAGAATCCAGCGCTTGCATGCAGTTGGTTAAATTTATGTCTACTTCCTGTTTTCGTTGGTATTTTAAATGGTATTGACTTTGTCATTTTAATTTCCAGTTCTCCGTTGCTCATGTTTAGAAATACAATTGACCTTTTTAAAAATAGTTTTCATTGATTTCAGAGAGGAAGGGAAAGGGAGAGAGAGAAACATTCGTGATAAGAGAGACTCATTGATTGACTGCCTCCTGCACGACCCCTACTGGGGATCGAGCCCGCAACCCAGGCCTGTGCCCTGACTGGGAATCGAACCGTGACCTCCTGGTCGATAGGTCACCGCCCAACCACTGCAACACCGGCCGGGCTACAATTGACTTTTGACTCCCTGTTCTTCAAGGACAGTTACATTGTGTGTCTAGAGAGAGGGGTTTGTTTTTTTCCTTGTGCCTGCTATCTCTTTTTCTTGCACTGGCTCGCACTTCCAGACAAGGCATGTCAGAACAACGTCTTGGCTTTGTCCCTGATCTTACGGGAAAGCACCCCGTCCTTGTATCTTAACTACGTGTTGTCGAGGCTTATCGGTCCCTTTATCAGGGTTAGTCGTTTTCTACTTCCCTGGGAGAGTTTGTGAAAGTCAGTATTGGATGTTAAATTTTATCCAGTGCTTTACCTAAGTCTATTATGATGATCACATTTTTTCCTTCATTCTGTTGACATGGAGAATTACCCTGATGAATATTTGACTGTTGAACCAGCTTAGCATTTGTAAGATAACCCCCACTTGATCGGGATAAAGTATGATTTTTATATATTGTAGAATTCGATTTCCCGATATTTTTATTGAGCATTTTTGCACCTGTGTTCATGGGGGAGACATCCGGGTCTGTAGTTTTCTTGTCTTTTAATGTCTTTTTCTGATTTGGATGAATTGCTTTTATTTTTCCTTCAAACGTTTGGTAGACTCACCAGTAAAGCTTATGAGCTTAGAGTTTTTTTTATTGGAAGGTTTTCATTGCCTATTCAGCTATTGAATAGCTGTAGGACAACTTAGGTTGTCTATTTCTTCTTGAGTAGATTCTGTAAGTGAGTTTCTTTTCAGGAATTTGTCCACCTCATCTAAATTGTTGAATTTATGAGCATAAAGATGTACGAAATGGACTGTCCTCTCTTAACGTCATGGGATTTGGAGAGGTGTTCCCTGACATTGGTGATATTGGCAATTTGTGGTTTCTCACTTATTCCTGATCAGTCTGGCTCAAGGTTTATTTATGTTTTAAAAGAATCAGCTTTTGGTTTTGTTGATTTTCTCTATTATTTTTCTAATTTCATTTTCTTTGTTTATGCTCTTTTTCTTTACCATTGCCTTGAATCAGCTTGTTTTGGGTTTAATTAACTATTACACATTCTTAAGGTAGAATCTTAGATTATAAGGTAAACATTTAAATGCTATAAATTTCCCTCTAACACCTCTGCACCCCATAAATTTTGATATGTTGAGTTTTCATTTTCATTAAATTGGAAGTGCTTTTTAATTTTCCATGTGACTTCCTCTTGGACTCATGGTTATTTTGAAGTGCATTGCTTCATCTCCAAATATTTAGGGAATTTCCACCATCTTCCTGTTATTAATTTCAAGTTTGATTCTTTTGGGGCCTTAAAACATGCATTTTGTGATTTGCATTATCTTTAACTTGTTTTGGTTTGTTTGGGGCTTAAACTGTTCCTATCTTGGTTAAGTTCCATGTGCACCGAGGAGAAGGTGTATTCTGCCGTCGGTGGGTGGATTTAAACATTAATATCACGTGGGTCAAGCTGCTCCATGGTGTTGGGTGTTCAGGTCTTGTGTCTCCTACTGATTTTCTTTGTCTGTTTTTTTTAAGAGCAGTGAAATTCCCGCTGTAACAGTAGATGTTTCCGTTTTTCCTTTTCGTTCCTCGGTTTCGCGCCTGGTACTTTCAGTTCCTCGGTTTCGCGCCTGGTACTTTGAGTTCCTCGGTTTCGCGCCTGGTACTTTGAGTTTCTCAGTTTCGCGCCTGGTACTTTGAGTTCTGCTGCAGGACTAGGTCGCGCCATCACTATGTGACCTCCCTCTTCCTCCCCGGCTCCCCTCCTGGGCAGGAAGCCTAGCGCTCCTCATCCTGGGCAGGAAGCCTAGCGCTCCTCATGGTAACATAACCTCCAGATGGAGTCAGTGTGTGTGTGTATTTCTCCATCCTTGTACTTGTGAGCTACTTGTGCCTTTGTATTTCAAGTGGGATTCTTTTAGACGCCGCACAGTCGGGTCTTGGTTCTCATCCAGCCGATACCCTGCCTTCTGGGATGGGTGGGCTGCCTTTCCTGAATGCTCTCACCCCTGCTGCCCCATACACATCGTCGACCCCGATGTTTGGTGTGGGAGGCAACCCGGCGTGGCCCGTCTGCTTCCTCCGCTGGTCTCCCCCTCACGCCCCATAGCCATGCGCACCGTGCTCCCCAGTCACCAGGTTTTCCCATAATCCCATGCCTTTGCTCCCTGCACTCTCCCAGGGAGCGCGCCTTTCTCAGGCCTCTCCCCCCGGGCCGGGCCCGGCTCCGGTGTGAAGCCTCCCAGCATGTATATCGTGTGTCTCATGCAGAGACGCCCTTCCGGCTGCATGAGGGTGTCCCCTGGACTGTGACTCCCTGGGGCGGGCCCCCGGGCAGGTGTACGATTGGGCTCAATAACAGAAAGGAAGAGAGAGGGAAATTGTAATGGGGCCCCTGTGACAGGCAGACGCCTGGCCTCCGAGAGCGTAGGCGGCGGTGCCCGGGGAGGGCGATGGTTTCATGTGAAGGTCAGTGGGGGGAGCGTGGGCGCCTGCGGGAGGGGCGCCCACAGGAACCGGGTCTGGTCTCAGAGGTCGGGGAGAGAGAAGCTGGAGGAAGCTGGGTGTGCTCTCCCCTCGGGCCCCGGAACGGCTTCCCGGGGACGGGTGGTCCGGGCCCCTTTCCCGCCGGTGCCTTAACGAACTCGGCTGCAGAGAAGGAGAAGCGGCCCAGCCCCTTTCTCTGTGATGCCAGCAGCTCCCCAGACATTCGGCACGCGCCCGTCCCCGGGGCTGTGAGTGCCCGTCCTCGGGGCTGTGAGCGCCCGTCCTCGGGGCTGAGTGCCCGTCCTCGGGGCTGTGAGCGCCCGTCCTCGGGGCTGTGAGCGCCCGTCCTCGGGGCTGTGAGCGCCCGTCCTCGGGGCTGTGAGCGCCCGTCCTCGGGGCTGTGAGCGCCCGTCCTCGGGGCTGTGAGCGCCCGTCCTCGGGGCTGTGAGCGCCCGTCCTCGGGGCTGGAAGTGCCCGGCGGCCACCGGTTAAGAGTGTTTCCGTCTCTCCCCCTCCTGCCTCCTGTTGGTTCGTGTCTCTATGGCGATGCCTGGCACAGTGCCCACCGCGCCCCCCCAGAACGTGCAGGCAGAAGCGGTGAATTCCACGACCATCCGCTTCCTGTGGAACCCCCCGCCCCAGCAGTTCATCAACGGCATCACCCAGGGATACAAGGTACGCGCCTCGCCCCGGGGTGTCTCGGAAGGTCCCTGCCTGGGGGTCAGCACGGAGGCCGCTGCCTCTCCTGGGGTCCGGGGAGTCACCCCGGTCCTGCCACCAGCTGTGCTGCTCAGGAACTCCTGGCTGGCTTTCCCGGGCTGGGGGGGGGGGGGCCACACACACAGCACTGTCTCCTGAGAAAGGCCTCCCACGTGAACATCCCCGCGGGAGGGAGCCCCACCTCGCGGATTGGGATCGGGCTTGCAGGAACCACTTCCTCCCGGGAGGGACCCTGCCTGGGGGACATTGAGGGACATTTGTATCAGGTGAGGAGCGGCGTCCCCTCCCTCCCTCGGCTCCTGGGACTGAGACCTGGTGACCCAGGTCACCTCTGATTTGAATCCGAGGCACGGACCCTCCCCACCCTCCACCTTCCCTTCATCCTTAGTCGCCAGAGCATGTCACCTTCATCCATGTGCTGGGGCCCAGGTCCCGAAAGCGTCGTCTCTGTCCCCGTATCCCCGCCCTGGCTGGGCCTGGAGCCGTGGCCTCAGCGCAGTCATGACCGTCCGCCTGGAGGTGGGCGCGGGCAGACGCTTAGAGAGGAGCGCCCACCTGGCAGCTGGACACGCGCAGTCTCGGATGCAGAGGGTGTTTCTGCTCCGACACAGTCCGTTCTTTCTCCGTTTGGATTCAATTTACACAAACACGTGTCTGCGCCAGCCCGGCCGCCGGCCAGCAGCTCACCCGCCCTCGCCTCCAGGGCCGCCGTCGGCTTCCTGAAAGGAAACCACGTGGATCAGCAGGAGGCTGTGCCGCTCCGTCCAGTCTGACTGGCGAGGCCGGCGCTCGCTCGGTGCCTGCGCTCGCTCTGACCCGCATGGCTGTGCTCCTGTCCTGCGGCCGCCGCCCTCCAGCCCCAGGGCCCCCGATGTTTGGTGCCACAGGGACCCGGTCCCGCAGACACCAGTGGCCAGACCTCGGGCAGCCCCCCTGCCCCGTGTCAGCAGACTGTGTGCCTTTACGGTGTGATCAGTGTCCTGACCGCCTGTCCAGGCAGCTGCTGGACAGAAACTAGAAACAGCGACGGTTGTCCCAGTGCATCGGGCTCATGCCGGGTCTGGGGTGGGCCTGTCGGGAAGCATCTGTGCGTGTGGCTCGTCCGGGGTCGGGATGACAGCTGGAGTCCGTGTTCCTTGCTCCCCAACCACACTAATTTCACAGAGGAAAGGAGGGAGAGAGAAGCATCAGTGATGAGAGAGAATCATTGATTGGCTGCCTCTGCACGCCCCACACTGGGGATCGAGCCTGCGGCCCGGCCGTGTGCCCTGACCGGGAATCGACCGATGAACCTGACCGTGACCTCCTGGTTCATAGGTCAATGCTCAACCATTGAGCCACACCGGCCGGGCTGAGACCCCGTTTAAACTCAGTGCTTCTCAGTGAGATGACAAAGGTTGGATTTATAACGTCTCTTAATTATGACGTCGAAGGTAAATTTCACATGAAGTTCTGGTGCAGACTTGAAGCCGTGCGACTAAAAGGAATCTCTTCCCAACCCGCTCCCCCCAGCTCCTCGCGTGGCCCGCCGACACCCCCGAAGCCGTCACCGTGGTCACCATCGCGCCGGACTTCCACGGAGCGCACCACGGCTACATCAGCCACCTGCGGAAGTTCACGGCCTACTTCACGGCGGCCCTGTGCTTCACCACGCCCGGCGACGGGCCCCCCAGCGCGCCCCGGCTCGTCCGCACCCACGAGGACAGTGAGTGCTGCTGGCGGGGCCTCCGGGAGCTCCTGCCAGGCTGGCCGCTTCCCTTTCATAGTTAGAGCTCTCCGCACAGCCTGCCCGAGAGGATGGGCTTAGTATGACAGGAACTCTGTCCCCTCCCTCCCCCCAGGGCCAGGAGCTGTGGGGCACCTGAGCTTCACCGAGATCCTGGACACGTCCCTCAAGGTCAGCTGGCAGGAGCCGCTGGACAAGAATGGCGTCATCACAGGTGAGCGCCTGTCCCTGGGGAGGAGTCTCGGGTTTGCACCCGCAGGCCTGGGTCACCTTCAGACAGAAGGCTGCCAGAGCACGTGTGTGACTGCGTGTGCCACAGCCAGGGCCCGGCCCCACCCCAGGCCCTGCCACCGCCAGCCCAGCCCCTTCGGGGTGTTCCCTGCTCAGCTCCAGCCTCTGAGTCAGAGACCAGTCTCCTCTGTTGTCAGGACACACCCCCATGGCCTGGGGTGGGGGCTGGACAGGGGCCTGGGGTGGGGGCTGGGGTAGGGACCCAGAAGCCGGGAGCAGGCTTCAGGCGTCAGCTGTGCTGTGCTTTGGGGAGCTCTGGTGAGCACAGGGCAGGGGCCTGGGGTAGGGACTGGACAGGGGCCTGGGGTGGGGGCTGGACAGGGGCCTGGGGTGGGAGCTGGGCAGGGGCCTGGGGTGGGGGCTGGGGTAGGGACCCAGAAGCCGGGAGCAGCTGTGCTGTGCTTTGGGGAGCTCTGGTGAGCACAAGGCCACCCCTCTGCCTGTGTCCCTGGTGTCCCCGCCTGGAGCCCTGCCAGCGCTCGGAAGCCGTGGGGCTCAGAGGGCTGAGGGTCAGCAGACAGGCAGTGGCTTCTGATATTAATTTTTTTAAAAATTAAAGTCCCGAGACACTGCTCTCTGAGTTCTGTTCACCGAAGTCCTGATCCGGCTGTGTGACCGCTTTTATCCGAGGCGCGTTCGACGCCCCTGCAGCGGCAGGGCCCAGTTTACTGCCTGGGAGGGTAGGGCCGCGCATCAGCGCATCGCGCTGCCCGTGGCCGGGCTCTCCATCACGGTCCTTCTGCAGGGCCTCCAGCGCCCCCATCCTAATCAGCCCCCCGGGGGCGGACTCAGGCCGGCTGGGCCTTTTTC